TCACCTGAATTTTGGGCCATCGGCAGCTCATCTAAATTCCCAAACTCTGAAATGTTCTACGGAGAAATCCGGAAACAAGCAAAACAGACAATGCTCAAAAACATTCTGTTTGAGTTGTGATTCATAATTACACCTAGGGCGCCAAATTAAAAAAGATTACTGGCTTTTTTGGAGGTAGGAGACACCTCCCCCTCTCACCCTCTGGTTCCAACTTGGAGGAACATTTAATGCAGAGGGACACTCCCAGACATAGCTGGACTCTGTCAACGGAATCCGCTGACTTTCAGTCCCTTCTACATTAGTAAAGTGGACATCCCGATTTTGGTGGAGTGTGGGGGATTGGGGGTAGTGACTTCACAGACCCCACAGGTGAGGAGTCATGGCGTACAAGTAATATACAGAAAATTGGGAAGTGGGGGGGACATCTGGGAAAAAGTTATGGGGATCCACAAAAGGCTACCTAGACCCAAAGCCAACCCATAGCTTCCACGCAGCTCATGTGGTAGGGCATACCTAGGATACTTTACTATGGTGGCATCATCTGGCCGTATATTAACACTGATTTAACATACAATGTTCCTAGTTGTTTTTTGTTTCATTTTTGTTTCTCTTCTCTCCCCCCTCTAAAGTGACACTCGGGAATGAAAGTAGTAGAGAGGGCATACGGGTATCCTAGCTAAGCTGCATATTTTGTAGATGGTTTGAATACCTGGTTGTTCTGGACCTGGGACCTGCGTGTCTCTGATAATACTTACTGTTTGGAGATTTGTTTATCTTGCATTTCACGTGTCTTGTTTCTCTTTCCCTCTCTTTTCTTTTTGTTTGCCTTTTTTTATTTTGAAAAGAGACTTTGTATTTCCATTTTTGGAGACCCGTGTGTCGGACTGTATTTCAAAAAATGTAAAATGTTTTTCAATAAACCGAAATTCACAAAAAAAAAAGATGACATGGAAAAATGGTAATTGGTGGTTAGACATCTACTAAATCTATATTTATATATTATATATTGAATTGTATTACGAATGGCGTAAATATTCAATTGCGCCGAATCGATTCTTCAGAAAAAATAATTTGTTGGATCAATTCATGATTCGTTTGTGTTGAGTTTCTGTTTGGAATTTCATTGAAATCATTTGCGTAAAAACTACTTGGCCAATCCAAAAGGGTGGGAACGTTCCAAATAGTGCACTGCAAAATATATACATAATATAAATACTGTGATATTTAGAATTTGCAGTACACTGATAGGTGCATTTTCCTGCCATTTGGTTCACAGATCGAATGAGAAGACTTAACGGATAAAGGGAAAAAAGGAGGAGTATTAGAAATTTATATAGTAATTTATTACAAATTTATTAAATGTAAAATATAAAATTGTTTATTCATTTACGGTTCCTCTCTGTGATTAAAATCAACATTAATGGCTGTCCCTTTACCATCAATCCTCTTTTTGGTGATACCGCGGAATCACAATCACAAAACAAACAAAATTGTTTGTGCATTGTCTGTTTCGTTTGTTTTGTGAAACGTCCGTTTGGTAATTTAGAGTTTCGGACGAATCGCAATTTGTTTGAAAGAGAATGCACAAGTCTAATATTTAATAAATATATAATTTATAAATATAGATTTCATTTTTACCGATCCTCCCTTTTATCTCTCTATTGGCTACTACTTCTCATTTGATCTGTGAACCAAATGGTGTAGATAGATAGATAGATAAACGAATAGATAAAGATAGGTTGGAAGATATACAGACAGGCAGACGGATAGACAGACGGACGAATAGATAGACAGACAACTAGGTAGACAGACAGATGGATAGACAAACAGCTAGATAGACAGACAGACAGGCAGACAGATGGATAGACAGACAGCTAGATACATAGACAGACAGACAGACAAAATACAAAACACCCACATATATATATAAATATAGATATATATATATATTAATGATGGAACATTAAGTACCCTGAAGGGGCAGTAGTACTATTAATTGGCATCACTGCAGACAGGTTTTCTCTAAGAGAGCGAGTTCATTATGGTTGATCCATCGAGCAGTATTAACTAAGTAAAGGGATTAGGCGATTGTCTTTTACGCAAATTTGATGAAAGTCCTGACTAAGCACATTCCTAATCCCTTACATCACAGAACAGGTAAGCGCAGTGCATGTGACAGCAGCCAGGGGGACAGGTATCCAGTGCACTAACTGCTAACCTTGGCACTGCAGATGTCTGAGGACTACATAACCCACAATGCTCAGCAAGCACTCAGGCTGCCTAAGTATCATGGGAAATGTAGTTTACGAACAGCCGCAGTGCCAAGGCTGACCAGAATAACTGCTTGTTCTTTTAGTACTGTCTGCCAGGATTCACAGGTTAATTAAATAAAACGGTGTCTTCCAATTTATATTGAAATGTCTTCATGAGAAGATTTGGATAAGGTGATCTGGGGGAGGGGTATGGCTATTTTAAAACCAAACAACTTTTGTTTGTTTCTCATTTTCCTGCTCACTCTAATAGGGATGCCTTTGGCTGAAAACCGAAACCGAAAATGACTTTTTTCGCCAAATGATTTTAACCCCTTAGTGACCAAACCGTTTTTTTTCAATTTTCTTACCGTTTGGGACCAAGGCTGTTTTTACATTTCTGCTGTGTTTGTGTTTAGCTGTAATCTTCCTCTTACTCATTCACTGTACCCACACATGTCATATACAGTTTTTCTCGCCTTTAAATGGTCTTTCTAAAGATAGAAACTATAAAAAAAATTATAAAATATGATGAAATTTATTTTAAAAACACACTTTTTCTAACTTTGACCCACAAAATCTATTACGCATCTACAACCGCCAAAAACACCCATGCTAAATAGTTTCTACATTTTGTCCTGAGTTTAGAAATGCCCAATGTTAACATGTTCTTAGCTTTTTTTGCAAGTTATAGGGCTATAAGTATAAGTAGGACATTGCTGTTTCAAAATATTTATTTTTATAAATGATCAATAGTGACATTGAAACACTGGTATCTGTCATAAATCTCTGAATCACACCTCACATGTTCATGTTTTTTTAAAGTAGACAACCAAGGGTATTCAATATGGGCAAGGTCCAGTCTTTTTTAGTAGCCACTTTGTCACAAACACTGGCCAAAGTTTGCATTTATATTTGTTTGTGTGTTAAAAATGCAAAAAACAATTATGAACGCTAACTTTGGCCAGTGTTTGTGACTAAGTGGCTACTAAAGAGACTGAACATACCCTATTTGCAATACCTTGGGTTGTCTTTTTTTGCAAATGGTATGCCATCATGTGGGTAATTCTCATTCCTGGGCCACCATATGCTCTCAAAGGCAACATAACCAATCTGGCAAATTTCAATGTGAAAAAACTTAAAATCAAGCCTTATATTTGATCTTGTAACTTTCAAAAACACTATAAAACCTGTACATGGGGGGTACTGTTATACTCAGGAGACTTCACTGAGCACAAATATTAGTGTTTCAAAACAGTAAAACGTATCACAACAATTATATCGTCTGTGTAAGTGCCATCTGTGTGTGAAAAATGCAAAAAATGTCACTTTCACTGACAATATCATCGCTGTGATATGTTTTACGGTTTTGAAACACTAATATTTGTGTTCAGCGAAGTCTCCCGGGTAAAACAATACCCCCCATGTGGACTAAAAAGACGTGTGATCGGAACCTTTTCCATGTCTTATTATATATCCCACAGAAGATGTTGGCATACGAAGACGGCTCATTACAGATCACAGCAAGTCCAAGTACATACAGAACTTGCCATCGGCTTAGGCAGCACTTCCATTCATCATATAGGATCAACGAAACGGCTGCTAAAGGCAGAACTACATGTTTTAAACAGGGCTCATGTCCAGGTCTTACTGAACAATTGTATCCAGATTGGATGAGCCATGTCCTGGTATGGATGGAGCTCACAGCAGACGTTATAAATCCTGGGCATACGCAGCAAGTGCAGGAATTTCAAATGTAGGAGATGTTTCTGTAGTACACCTTCCATGCTGCTTAGCCAATTTAAAGGCTGGCAAAACATCATCATCATTGGACATCATTGGAGTGAAAGTTATTCAACATTTCAGGATCTACCTTCAAGGCATCTTTGATCTATATAATGTATTAAACTTGTAGACACCTGCAGGATATGTGGCACTTTCAAATATGAATGGGGACAACTTTCTAAAAAGTCAAGAATTTAGGTTGGTTTACAGCGAAGTGCCAATATAGTTAAACGTGTACATTAATAAGTCAGTAAGTTCTAAAACGAGAGGAGTCCCCAACTCTTAAAGTGTTCTTACTTCAGTGTGCAGAACAAAACAGATTTAAAGTATGGGTTTTTCTATAATTTCATAATCCGTTTATTCATACAATGCTTTTGGACAATACTTGATCAGTTGGAATAATCAGTGAATTATTCCTAATTTTATCTGCAATTAATACATTTATATAGTGTTTCCCGCACCCAAAGCTGCCTTGCCTAAAGCAGGATTCGATGAAGCACAGAAAAAAAAGGAGGACTCGGGTCCCTCCCCCTGCGCAGTGATGTCACTACGCGCACACGCGCGGCCACTATATTTAGAGAGGCAGAAAGCAAATGCGCTTCACTCCGTGAAGGTGAACGGTGACAGCTCCTGGAACGTCCGGTAGAGTTGGGATGTCTGCGCATGTAATTTTTGGCAGATTTGACCCTTTTTAGGTGGCCGAAATTTTAGCACATCCCTACTTTTATATAATTAAATAACACTGCGTTACATTGGCCTACTCTTCCTGGCACGCTTTCTGCTTTCTCAATGTTACCCTATTACATGCCCTAATTCTCAGCGTTACCCTATTACACACCCTAATTCTCAGTGTTTTGTTCTGTGCCATATTCTTTTAATGGGATTTTTGTAACTTTGCAACAAGACAAAGACTATATACCACAAACGTTAAATAGATATATCCATTTTATTATAATTTAAGATATTCCCCATTTATTATTATTACAGAAGCCAAACATTAAAGGTTAGACAGTTCTTTGTGCTTTTTTGACATGCTTTCACATCTGGACTCTGTGCAACCAAATACCGGAACAATTACCCCAAATTAATTTACATGCATGGTCACAGCTATCAGTAAATACATTGTGCAAGAATCAGAGCCACGTTAAGACTCTTAAAGGCCCTGGACAGGTGCCTAATATCTATTTGTCAACTAGTCCATTGGTTAGAACAGTCCTGACCAATGTTCCATCTGAGGACCTTTTTGTGAGAGGCCAATCAGTGAAATAGTGAAAAATGGACCTCTGGGGCAGGGCCTTAGGCCATACTGGAAGACGGCTTAGCACTATTGCTCCTGCAATGGTTTTGTCCTTTTGGCTCATTACGAGTCATTAAACCACTAGAATAGAATTACCAGGCTGGGATATTATACAGCAAGCTGTCCTGGTGCTGAAATTTAGGCTTTTTACAAAGGCAGCCACTCCCTTGATCAACAGCAAACCAGCATACTTGGGTTCCTGCATCACAGTCCTGCTCACTCCTTTTGGACTACAGGGTAAATTCGGTTCACCATGGAGCAACCCTATACTCACCCTCATGCAGATATTATCTCTGCAAAGATAGCCTACTACCATGACTTACCTGTGCCATAAGCCAGATGGAGAAGGTCTGTTGGCCTAACCGGAGCCTTCGTAAGCTACATGCCGTTATCTAACAATGGGACTTATGGATCCCACTGGGCCCTGAGGGAGAGGCCCCTTTATTTTCCCTCATCAGTCGTTTTGGATTAAAGGAGTCCAGGCCTGGAGATGCCTTTTAAGCATTAGGACTTGGCTGGCTAGCAGACTTATATTTTCAGAACCAGAAACTCTCAGTGTCTTCGTATAGGCATAATTGATAGTCTATAGTTTACATATTATGTTAACTGAGTAAGTCGATATTTTTTCTGCTCCAGTGGCTGTGTATTCGAATGTGTAAGCTTCTTTAGTATCTTTTTATTTTACTTTAAAAAAAATGAGATGTTATTGTGCCAGTTGGGCTTCTGACATTTATTCTGTACTGTTACTGAGCTGTGTGCAGGAAATTTAACCCCTTACGGACACATGACGGAAAATTCCGTCATAATTCCCTTTTATTCCAGAATTTGTGTCCTTAAGGGGTTAAACATTTGTATTGTGCTATCATCTTAATAAACAATACATTACAAAAAGATTTATCTTAACATCAACTACACCTTGACTTTGCTTAGTACCATAAAAGTACACAAAGCAAACCGTGTTGGCCACGTGTTGTAAATAATTTAATTTGAACTGATCCAACGCTGGACCTTTCCAGAAAAAGTGCTGAGATGGAACACTATGAAGATTCCAGGACTATACGCCTCCGGCTCTCCTGATCTAACCCTATAGTAACTTGTTTGTATTTTTACCACAGTTTTGCGGATCCATTTGTCAGTGGAGCTTTCTAGGTGAACGATGACAACCTGACTAGAACTGAAGAAGACTTGGTTGCTGAAACACCTCTGTCGCTCGATCACCATCGAACATTTTGGAATCTCAATAGGAAAGCTATCTGATACCATAACTCTGCAGCTCACAGTACACGTAAAAGGGAACCACATCTCCTCTACAATTTACACAATTCATTTTGTTTTTAGGTGATATTCTGCTTTCTTTTAAATCTATATTTAAATTTTAGCAAATTACATCACAATCCTGCTGAGTCCTGGCACAGCCAGGGCACAGAATGCATCGGGGGACAATAAAGAGAAACATTGTTTCATTCCTCCTCTTCATACTGACTGACAGATGCAGAGCTTATAACTATTACTGACATACAGCCAAGATGGCCACGTGAGGTCCCAGGGTAGAGCAGTGTGAATTTCTACATTTTATTTAATTTTGTACACCTCGCAAAAAGATATGTGCTAAATGCAGTAGATAAGTAAACTTCATTTAACAAATCCTTGGAAGTGACAACCCCCCTTTAACACTCAAATCTGATTATGCATTTCAGGCACTGCAAGATTAATTGTTCAATTTAATCTGAATCATACCCTTCATTTCCTTCTAATCAATCCACGCAAACACTCAGTCACAATTTCTAATTCTTCACACGTTCTTGTTATCTATGGGAAGCTGCAGAGTTCTCCACGATTCAGCTACTTTCTGAATAAATTCTATATGATCAAACCGGACAGAATGATTTTAAGTCAATGTAAACAGCAACCAATATTGACTTCAGCTGACATAGTTCCTGCCAGTGCATTGTGATACATTGAGTTCATACCATACACGTTTTTTTAAAATAAAGGCACCATTGTGGTAGTTACTAAAGTTGAAGGATATGACGGATTTGAGGCAGTTCATTGGTATTTATATCAAAGGGCAGTGGAAGCCTCTTCGTTTTGTGAGTTTTGTTCCAGGGATTTTTTCCGGCTGCTCTCCAGTGTAGGAATAACTGGATCCGCAACATATACCTGGCATCCATGAGGTAAGTCATTCCTGTGTCAATACAAAGAAACGTAGAGAGTTAGGAAATGCACTGCAGTCTCCCTGATTCTTTAAGCAGACCTATCGTGGATTTGATTTTAACATAATAAAATATTTTTAGGAATAACTTGCCTACATGTTTTTGTTACCATAAAATGTGTCCTGTTATTGTGTGAATGTACAAATCGATGGAATCATGGGCTTCACTTCCTTATTACACAATCACCGTGTTAATTAGCTCTCACTGTTCTGTAACTTGTTTCATTTTTGAGGTAGAAACAGTCAGGATATAGAGTTGTGAGAAGACGGAGGATTGTTTTATACTCATGATATAAAGGAGATAAATTATAGGCCAAAACCGAACCATTGATTTTTTTTTTTTTTTTTAAGAAAAACATTGCCAAGTATGCATATTGAATAAGTCACAGCATATTACAGCTATGACAAATGCATCCAATGTTTAAATTCTTGTCAAGAGTGAGAAACCGATTTAGGCAAGTAGCCTGGATATCACTGAAATTAATAAGAGCAATGATACAAAAAGATAAAATATAATCTGATAAGTAACGAATAGGCTCTCTGCATTTTATACACTTACCAAGAGGAATGCGGGGGCAGTGGAGGTGGCTGAGAGGAGGGAGATGTGAGAAGGATTCACCAATTATGGTGAACTGAGCCAATACCATCTAGGCACCTCAGTGCGTTAACCTTAAACCCGTCTCAGATGGTGAGATATATCGTTGATCGGGAGCACTTAAGAAGAGATACAGGTGATAATTAAAAGAAAAATGTTACCACTAGGGATCTTGGTGCCCTCCACCGATATTCCACTCCAGCTTACCACAGCTGTCGTGTTACAAAGTTGAGAGGACTTCGCCACTTAGAGACCTTGTTAGGTCTCGATAAAAAGTGAGGTTAGGGCCATCAAAAGAATAAAGTGTCTTGCCCTGCAACGCTGACATGATGTGTCTCTTGTCTTGAGAGGATGAACAGAAAATGATAATCGATTGTAAACTTCTTTGACAAGCTTGGAAGTGATATTGATGTCACTATGCGTTATGCATTATGTAATGTGATTGTTCCTCTAGAGCAGTGGTTCCCAACCCAGTCCTCAAGTACCCCCTACCAGTCCAGGATCTAGAGATCAGGTTCTTGTGCTCTAGTTGACAATGAGAAGCCGAGCAGCTCTTCCAGCTCCGAGGTCAGAAGAAGATGATAGGCACCAGGCCTACATGTCTGCCTTTTTGTCTTGGGGGTGAGAAAGAACAGCATGAATTAACTCAGGTGAAAAGTCCAGAGGTGAGTACAAGCTCAATCTTGGCTGGATGTATAGATTGATCCTTGATATTTAGAGATTTGGCAGATTTCATCTTGACCTGATGAAGGTCAAGCTCCACTCCCCCATAACCATTCTCTTTTAAAACATTCTATAGGTAATGCATTATACAGATAAATGCTTTCTATAAGGTAAGCTTGTTATCTACATATGTTTCATGGAAATACGAGGCATAAGCAATGATTGCCAATGATTCTTTACTCTCTGATCTGGCAGACAAAAGGCTAAATGAAGCTGGATTTACCAGCTTCAGAAAAACCAATTCCATCAGGTTCTGTTGTATCTATAAGTACCACTTGGTGGTGCAAGCATTCAAAAAAACACTAATTGCTTTCCAGTTTATGGATGTCCTTTTAACTCATTGAGAATCAGAGCGATGTGACACCTGTTTCAGAACATCCCAAGTTGATAATAATCTAGCCAAACTGGAGAAATTCTTTAAATGTCCTTGTAACGGAGCTCCTTGTACTCCGACCGAGTACCCTCCGTTGACGGATGCTCCTAGTGCTTCCTGAGGACTCCAAGCAGTGCAGCAGACACCACAACCACCGCAGACTCCGCAACCGCCGTATCTTGACTGGAGTCTCGCCGTCTTCCTTCCACCCTGGATCAGCTTCCGTCCTCCAGGACTGTGTGGGAAAGAACTCTTCCTTCCACCCTGTACGAACCTCCAGCATCCAGGACTGTGTGGTGAAGACCCCTCCTCCAAGGAGAGCGTGTCAGGAACAAGCTCTTAAAAGAGCTAAGTGACTCAAGCTCAGGGGAGCATGCAGAGCATAGCAATCCCCAGTCTGATTATAACAGCTCCCTCCAATAACGAGACAAGGCTACATTTAGAGGGATCAAGAAGAACTGTCAAAACCTTTATTCCCTTGGGACCAGCCAATACAGTCACCACAATAACACTGTTGTGAAACCTCAATAAAATCACAAACAGTCAAACCATATCAAGAAACACACAGTGACTTATCACAACACAATGGCACATTTTTAAAGGGGTGGGGGGAGACAATATTTAACAGTAAATAACTCACCTGCCTGCAGAATTAGCAATATGCAAATCTACCCGAATATGCAAATGAACCAGTCTTGCAATTCAAGTAGTGCATATTGCTGTTGCTACCAACAGAGGGCACTAGACAAGCTCCATAGCCAAACCCACCTAGTTGGTAGCAAACCTCAGCAATACAAGAGAGCAGGCAATACATTACACAGTACACACACACACACACTATAAACAATTACATTACACACACCCTGCACCTATAATGGGTACAGGGTGACTAAAACATAAGATAAATAAAGCAGCCTACATAAATAGTCTGTCTGAAGGTAGACTAGGGGCTTTAAAGCCAGATACATGAAAGAGTCATAGTCACAGGGGAGGAGGCTGGCAAGTAGGCCTCTCCAGGACCAAGTGGTGAAGGGCACTTCGTCACATATCTCCCCTTCGGGGGGAAGACTAACCAGGCACCTGACTTTCTGTCGGTCAGTGCCTAAGTTAGTCGAGTCACCCACCGACCATAAGCAAGTGCCAGAGTAGCCCACCCACAACAAACAGTTATTAGAGCAGCCCACCCACAGCAAACAGTGACTGCACCTGGGTATTCCTCTGGGGTAATGGGGCAACACGCTGTGGGGACTTGAGGGGCAGAGGCCAGCGGCGCTCTGCCCTGATGTCAGCGCTTCTGCTGGGAGGAGGGGGGTGCAGGCCAGTCCTGTGACAAGGGGATCGGTAGGGCAGAGGCCAGCAGCGGTCTGCCCTGATGCCAGCTCTTCTGCTGGTATAGCCTGCAGGATATCAGGCTCTGGACAAGGGACAAAGGGAGAGCAGAGGCCGACTGCACTCTGCCCAGCTGTCAGCTCTTCCGCTGGGGGGCTTGGGACATAGTCCGGCTCAGTAGCCAGGGGAACGTGGGGGTCAACATCTCCTCTGTTAACCCTGAGGCCAAGTTAGGAGTTAGCTGGGGAGGGGAATTCGTACTTACCCCCTCCTCCTGTTGTCCCTGTGAGGGTAGTTGGGGATCTGGACAGGCTGTCCAGCATCCCTGTAGGTCAGGCGCAGAGACTACGGTCCCCTCTGCGCCATCTGGGAGATTGGTGTCTCCCCTTGGTAGGGTAAGCTGCCGCTGGGGAGATAGGGTGCTGTGCTCCTCTCCCTGAAACACAGGCTGCCGCTGGAGAGGGAGACCGCCTGTCTCCACTCCCATAACATTGTCCTGCTGCTGGAGAGAGAGACCAACTGTCTCTGCTCCCTGTAGGACACACTGCTGCTGGGGAGGAAGGACGACACCTTCGGCTCCCTGGAATTGCACTGCCGCTGGGGAGGAAGGACGACACCTTCGGCTCCCTGTAACTTGCACTGCCGCTGGGAGGAAGGACGTAACTTGCACTGCCGCTGGGGAGGAAGGACGACACCTTCGGCTCCCTGTAACTTGCACTGCCGCTGGGGAGGAAGGACGACACCTTCGGCTCCCTGTAACTTGCACTGCCGCTGGGGAGGAAGGACGACACCTTCGGCTCCCTGTAACTTGCACTGCCGCTGGAGACTAGGTGTCCATATCCTCAACCTCCACAGTTGTTGCTCAAAGGCCATTGCCGCACTGTTCTCAGCACTCAACTGGCGCATTACTTGGTGGACCACCTCGTTCGAAAGGTCTGGGCCATAGCAGACCAACCGCCTCTTTACCTCCTCAATGTAAGCGTCGTCCTCGTAGCGACGTATCATGTTGAGGTGCTCTTCGCAGGGCTCTATCCATCCCTGCTCCATGCTGCTGTAGTTAGGGACGCTGCACAGTGGCTAGCGTTGCCCTCAATAACCTCTCATACGATACCAGTGTCTCCGAGCTGCTTCTCCTCGCACTAGGACGCCATCCCACTGCTGCCACCAATGTAACGGAGCTCCTTGTACTCCGACCGAGTACCCTCCATTGACGGATGCTCCTAGCGCTTCCTGAGGACTCCAAGCACTGCAGCAGACACCGCAACCACCGCAGACTCCGCAACCGCCGTATCTTGACTGGAGTCTCGCCGTCTTCCTTCCACCCTGGATCAGCTTCTGTCCTCCAGGACTGTGTGGGAAAGCTTCCTGTCCTCCAGGACTGTGTGGGAAAGAACTCTTCCTTCCACCCTGTACGAACCTCCAGCATCCAGGACTGTGTGGTGAAGACCCCTCCTCCAAGGAGAGCGTGTCAGGAACAAGCTCTTAAAAGAGCTAAGTGACTCAAACTCAGGGGAGCATGCAGAGCATAGCAATCCCCAGTGTGATTATAACAGCTCCCTCCAATAATGAGACAAGGCTACGTTTAGAGGGATCAAGAAGAACTGTCAAAACCTTTATTCCCTTGGGACCAGCCAATACAGTCACCACAATAACATTGTTGTGAAACCTCAATAAAATCACAAACAGTCAAACCATATCAAGAAACACACAGTGACTTATCACAACACAATGGCACATTTTTAAAGGGGTGGGGGGAGACAATAATTAACAGTAAATAACTCACCTGCCTGCAGAATTAGCAATATGCAAATCTACCCGAATATGCAAATGAACCAGTCTTGCAATTCAAGTAGTGCATATTGCTGTTGCTACCAACAGAGGGCACTAGACAAGCTCCATAGCCAAACCCACCTAGTTGGTAGCAAACCTCAGCAATACAAGAGAGCAGGCAATACATTACACAGTACACACACACACACACTATAAACAATTACATTACACAGACCCTGCACCTATAATGGGTACAGGGTGACTAAAACATAAGATAAATAAAGCAGCCTACATAAATAGTCTGTCTGAAGGTAGACTAGGGGCTTTAAAGCCAAATTCATGAAAGAGTCATAGTCACAGGGGAGGAGGCTGGCAAGTAGGCCTCTCCAGGACCAAGTGGCAAAGGGCACTTCGTCACAGTCCTGTATTATTATTTAAAGGGTGCTACCATTTTAGATTGTAAGCTCACTTAACCAGGGCCCTCACTGCCTCTTTTCCTGTAATTTAAACTTGCCTTGTTAAATGCATTTGTTTGTCTCATCCACATAATCTACAAAATAATTTGGCACAATATCCGATAACTATAAATAGAATTATTATATATCAAAGACCATGCTTCTAACACATCTTACTGGTGCAAGCAGATGTACATACTTTTAAAGCCCTAATACCATGCTCAGATTTAAATCAGAGAGATTTAATGTATTTAAATGTTAGGTTTTATATTTAACTGGTTGAATTCTGGTACAGTGCTGAAAGCATTGTCTGGCAATATGCTGGGCACACCCATGCCATCCAGGGGTTTAAAGATAATAGACTGACTTTTTCCAAAGGGATCTCTAGAGACTTTATAACGTGACAATCCTAAATTAATTATTTTCCAAAGGGATCTCCCTAGAAAAATTAGAATGTGACAATCCTACAATAATTATTTTCAACCAGATCTGATTAAATATCTAGAAGGGAGGGCTGTCTATTTGATAATCAGGTCCAATTCTAAATTTCTGAAGCATTTCTTTAATTCATATGTATTCGGGCTGAAATATATATGCAAATATAATTTATAAACAAATAGGTTTCCTTTGTATGTTGCGTTAGATCGAATAGAATGATAGTTATTCCTTATTGCCGTCATGTAAATTGTCTGAAATACAAATATGACAGTTTCAGTTAATCAAAGTGTGCTGTATCAGTACTGGCAAACGTGGTCTCCCACAATCCCATGTGCTGGTTACTGTGGGTTTCTCTGCTCAGGAAATGTACCAAGTCCATATGTCAGATCCAGAGCCACATTTTGAGCGTGCAGAACATATAATGACTTTATTTGCTGGCAGATCTGCGGCTGATAGATTCTCTTTAAATGTGATCAGTTCTAGAGCTCTCAGCAGAGATCCTTCTATTTATTTACATAGCTCGAAATATATCACTGCGCATCCAATACAGCTCCTTTAAAAATGTCTTTAAAATATTTTTTTTTTTAGATGAAGGGAAAAAAAGTTTAAAAAAAAATATTTCTTTATAGGGAAAAGAAAAAGCATAGCCCCCAAGCCATTAAATAATGCATACATATGACAGATAGGAAGTGAAGGCTCTCCAAACCGTGCAGTGCCGCATGGATAATAGACGTTATGTAATTTTTAAGAAGGATCACAGATGGTTTTTAAATAATCTGTAGCTTCCCTCTGGCAGATGACTTTTAAAAAAAACATTTTTTTTTTATTATAAAGCGATGAGTATACAGTGCGGCTCACAGACCCTTCTAGCCATCATTTTAACAAAATGGAATAATAAAGTAACCCTTTAGGGTCATTATGTATTGCTCAGCCATGTCATACATCCCAAGTGTCCCTTCTGTAGGAGAGTCAGTCCCTATTTCAGAGCCTCTTTATGTTTTGGCATGAGGTCAGGTTTTTAGAGATTTAAAATTTGGGTCGGCTGAGGGTCGGATTCACGTGAGGCTTAGAGTCCAATGATAGACAAGGTCTGGGTCAAAACCCATGCCAGGATCACTGAGTTCTTTTTTTATAACCTATTCCTCTATATTTTTAATGATGACCATCTGAGAATGTGTTACCGATCTCCTGGTGAATCAAGTGCCTCAATTCAGGATATATTCAGGGGAGACTTAAGGGATTTAGACGTCATATGTAAAAATATTTATAGTGACTTATCTCTAATATGAGTTTAATCATAAAAATGGCAAAATATGTAACATTATGATCAATAGGTTTCCAAGCCTTCCATTCCCTTAGATAAATGCGTGAGTGGGGGCCTAGACTGCTGATTTACTTATTAGACCCATTTTGGCCTCCTCTCTCTCTCATTTTATTTGGCATTGTCCTCTTTTCGTCTACATGCCAGCTCCACCCATGTCATCTCACCTCTCCATATCAACATCCTTTCTCTATTTAAACTCACACCATCCTTTGTTTTACCTTCTTAAAAAATTATTTGCTGCCCCCACTAACTCTATCTCCCAGTTCCATACTAACAACCCCCCTCGCCCCCAACAAATCTCCAACAGTTTTTCCAATTTCTACAAGGTCTGTTTCACTATCTCAATACCAGTTCTACCAGTAAATCTCTTTTGGGCCGGAGCCTCGTGTGTGGTCGGTCAAATTAGGATCTCCATGGAAATCCCAAACCCCTGAACCGATCTGGGTGATTTTTGGATATGTGATGTTTTACTTTTGTGGGTTTTCCATGTGTTTTAGGGGTACTTTTGGGAGGTTGTTAAAATGAATGTTGTCTGTGCCTGGAGATAATTGAGTTTAGTACAGCTCCTGACTCAATTATCCCTCAGGCACAGGGGAGGGATTATCCTGTTTTGTGTGGGAGTGTCCTGGACCTGAGAGCCAATGTCATTACAGTGTGTACTTTGTCACAGTCCCCTCTCAGGTCCAGTGGGGAATGCCCCTGGAATATGCTATGGAAAACCCCTTGCATGGGGACTTGCATATAAGGCCAGTTGTGGCTTCCATTAAACAGTTCCTCTTCACCCTTAACTGCTGTATCTGCTCTGGGGATTGCTATATCACTATATTCCCCTGGGTTATAATCACTTGCCCTTGTAAGAGCACCCTGCTCTACTCTCTGGTTCAGAAGAGGTCTGCCCACTGGAAGCTAGACCCTGGTCTTGGGTCCAGGGTGGGTGGAGGACAGCAAGACCCCAACCAAGCTGTAACCGCATAACTATGGTGGTTATGGTGTCCGGTGCAGTGCTTATGGTACTCAAGGATTACTAGGAAGCAGCTAATGGTGGAGGCACCCAGTTGGGGTGCCTGGCGGTCCGCCACATTCTCTCCTTGCTATTAAAACTTTTCCTCATCTCACTACTTCATATCAGCTTTGCTGGACTCTACTTGGACTCTCTTCTCTTTTATCTCCTTCCCCAGTAGACTCTGCCTTCTTGTCTACCAGCTGGTTCTATTCCACCAGTGTGTGCTAATCTCAAGGCGACTTGCGACAGGTTCCCCCATGATGAAGATATCATGTTATCTTAAGGTACTTAATGAACAACATTCATTTATACCTCCATCACTGATGGTTATCTTGTAGGCAGACACCGAGTGCCACCTCCGAGGCCTCCAAGTGCCAGTGATCGCATCAATGCCATTAGTTCACCATCATTGAGCTACAGGTTTGGTTTATTAAACACTTAAGAACTAGAATTGAATAAAATCCTTTTTTATCCTGTTATGTTGAACTTGTCAGTGGTCGTTAAATGGTTAATTAAAATATATGTGTTTAATATACAGGAAAAGCCATGCTATGTATCACAAATCACGTGTCACAAGTAAAAATGCATTGAAAAAAAAATACAAAAATTCAAGGACATAAAAAAGAAACCTCTCAGAGCCATTCGTGCTGGGATGCGTGAGGGCGGAGGTAGGAGGGGCTTCCAGGCAAATGGAGGAGGGGCCAGGCAAGGAGCAGAAGTGACGCTCTTCAGGGCAAACGGGTAATGAATTTTCAGGCAACAGAGCCAAGGGGTTGTTTGAGAAGCAAAACTGTACAAATGAAACACACAGAAGGACAGATCATGACAAAACTAAAACACAATATTTTTTTCACTTATAATTTAACTCAATATTTTTTTTACCCATAACTTACATATCTATTGTTTTAAAAAGTCATCAGCCATACTTTTACCATTCTTTTCAAGAATGTTACTACAAGCTTCGCCATATAATGCTTCACAGATTATACAGTATCCATTATCTCGCAATATTTCAGCCAGCATCTGAAATATTAACAAGAAGAAATTACATTTTGTCACACACAGCCTGTGTGACAAAACATATGTTCGTGTATTGGTAAGGATGGCAGACTCATGGCAGAATCTACAAAATGTCTATATGTAGGCATTATACCCACAGCAGGTAGGGCTGGCTGGCCATGTAACTACTTAGGGCATTGCAGGATACTATTGCAACCTGCAAATATCTCCTATAATTCCCTCCCTTCCAGCAAAGCAAACAAACCCGCCCTGTGAAACACAGAGCTAGCAGGAATGGGATTTGTTAAATTTTTAAATAATAATGTATCCTTGGTTAATTTAGCATTTTCTTTATTCAATGGAAGCTAAAAACATGTGCTTTTATATATTTCCTTTGTTAATTTAGGTTGTTTAAAAATCCAAACAAAAAAGGCAAACAACTGTGATACTACCATAACTAATTACAAGATATTTCAACAGTTAAAAGAATTACTGTTATTATAGCACAAACACCGTTATCTCTAAAAACCAGAAACACATAAAAGTTATTTTCTGAACCCAAAGACAGAGGATTTTCCTTTAATATCGTTTAGTTTTAGTGGGTGGCATATTAATTAATAATTATAATCTGGTATTTATAAAATTGACATTTTTGTTTCCTAACAAACATGAGAAACAGCTGATGCAATGGGGACACGGATTGGAGCCAACTTATGCATTTTGCCAGCATTTTCAGAATCTTTTTTTTTTTTTTAATTTGCAATGATGCTTTTTGCTGGAATAATGGATATTGTATTTCTGCCAAAACTAGTCCCAGGAGAATAAATGAGGACAAAACAAAAAGATAAATAAAAATTGCAATAATGAAGCGCTGGGATTAGCTTCCTTTTGAGAGACAGATATGATACGATTAATGACCTATAATAAATGATTTGAACAAAAATGCATAATTTTTTAGTGATCAAAAATACTTTTTTAATTTTAACCTGTGGTTTGGGACAAGCTCTCAAGATTTCATTATTTTTATTAAAAAAAAAATCTAAACTGGAATGTCTGCAATATATAATTCTTCTCTATGCCTATAGAGGCATTTTATTCTGTCTCATCATTTTCTGGTCTGGTACGGTTTTAGAAGTTTGGAGCTGTCAGGATGTGGTGCGGTGTATTGCTGTACCGCCACTGTAACAGTAGCAGAATTTTCATGACAGGCGCAAATGCCTGAAGCTTAGATATAACTTTTTATACAATATACAAAAGAAAAAATTAAGAAAGAACAGAATTTCTTAAAGTGACCGGGATACTGTAATAAATCACCCTTAATGTGACATCGTTTTTCACGGCACCTGGGATGTGGCGGCGGGGGACATGGCTCTTCCCTCTATATCTGTCCTTGTGTCTTCTCCCTGCGGTAACATGAATGCCGGGCTGGGACTTGAATGACGCTGCCTTCTCATGAACGGGAAAACGCTGCAGGTGACAATGTGAACAAGATTGTGCAATAGAAAAATATTCAGTAACAGCCTACAGTCAGTCACTGGAAAGCATTAGTAACAAAAATATGTATTTTGACTGTCTATTGCTTTTACACAAACCACTGCTCCCTAGAGCATGACAAGAAAACGTTATTCTAACAGCAACAACAAAAAAAGGACCAATGTTCTAACAGTCAACAGTATTAAAGATTCTTATTGGCTGTGAGGCACCATGATGTAATTCCAGCCAAAAGCAATCTACAACTATTTAACCAACGGTAATCTAATTGTATCTCTATTGGCTGTGAGGCTCTATGATATCACTCCAGCTGCTGGACATTTTCCTACTGGCTCTCGAGCACCTATATGTAACTCTACTCATTGGGAATCTGACTCAATCCAGCCATTGGCCATTCGGCAACATGAAGACCCTCTAGCCAATAGCAATCTGAGACTACCAAACTAACAATAATCTAGTTTCCTGTTGCCCACGGAACACCAATAAGCCGCTTTAACCAAAACACTGTTAAAGACTATCCAGCTAAAGGCGAACTAGTTTTCTAATATCTGGAGTGCAACATTTATAGAACTAAATAAGTCTTTCAAAATCTAAACTCAAAGAAAATGTCAAAGCACGAATTCCCCCCCCCCAGAATCAAATTGACCACTTTATTTGCATACTTCAGTTTTCTACTCACATACTTATCACAATAATACCCATATTTTCATTTACACAAACAGGGCTATTCACTAACGTCATAACTACCAAGAATTCAAACAGAATTTAACATTTTCGACTAGAATTGGTGAACTGGAAGCTTTGTTGATTGATAATTTTTCAGTCTCTGCTATTTTGGACTTTAAATTGGTGAAATTCACTTTGAAATCACTTGACATTCCTGTTAATTCTCATTTAGAAAATAAGCCCCTGGAAGAGTCCTGCTTTGCTTTTTATCATTATTTTATATATTTATTCCATTAGTGTAACCCTTTACAATGTTTATTTATTTATTTAGGTTTCTGTTTCTACTGCTATCATCTTTGGACTTTGTTCTTATTTATCTCCTTCATCTTAAACCCCCCGCAGAGCCAAATGTACCTATGATTGCCCTAACCGAAAAAAAATGAACTGTCTGTGAACCATCTCATAGTAAAACCATTTATTGTTTATCATTGCCTATCTTTAGTAATTGACGGAATCGAAATCCGTGGAGAAACAGAATTAATAATATTAAGTCATGATAGCTATACTGTAAAAATGATCTGAGCTATTTTTGCAGATTGCTGTTTTGATGTATAATTTGCAATTACCTTCTGCACAATTTCTGATTTAGTGAAGAGATTCATTAGTATTTCATCAAAAATAATAATTTGTTGCAAATAACCCTATGCGAATTATCACAAGGCAAATGTATCATTTTAAATAAGATTTATCTCAGCAGGCCAAGGCATGTGTCCTTGATCAAGGACATACGAGTCATCATATGCGACTTTAAAAACACAAAAACATGAACTCACATTAATTCGTTATTCCTTTTAAATAGGCCATGTTCTACTGACAGATAATATTTAAGATGGAATTTTACGAACCCTTTCTTGGTCTCCGGAGGAATAAATGCTTGACCCAGAAGACTCTTGTACATATCAGATTTTAGGTATCTTGGGTACGAATCCTGGAACAGAAAACACGAAGATCTTGTTACATTTATTGTCAGCATAATATTGCAGGATTTGCATTCACCTACCTGGGACTTCCAGTGGGGAAAAATGTCATAAATAATAACAAATTGAGAAGCAATCTTTCTTTGTAGCATTCATCAGAAAGCAGAAAATAGAAAACAAACCCAAGGCACACCAGAGTTTGCACATAAACATTATTTTTATTCATGCAATACAATAATGGATTAAACAAACTTAACGGAAGAGAAAGCGCATAAAACAAAATGCTAAATATGTTAGAACAATAGTCCCAGAACCACTTCTGAGTAATAATAAAGTGCTAAGAATGCCTACAAACACCCATATAAAATGGTATACTAACCAAAAGCCAGATATATGATAGCCTCGACGTTTCGGCCCTTAAGCCTTCCTCTGGGGGACCTCTCACTGACTCATCCAACTTCCCACTTATATACCCCGTAGCCACCTAAAACCATTAATCTGAACATATTAGCCCAAGTGCAGTCAGCTGAGCGAGGGGAGCACCTTTGGTAAACTATTTGATAGAGAGACACTTCCATACTCCACCGGAACATACTTCTGGGTTCTCGTGACGTCCCACGCACATGCGTCTAATAACGTCACCACGTCTATGCGTAATGACGTGTCTTATCATCTAGAACACTACGGGGGAAAATAGTGGCCAAAATTGGTAAACGGAAAGAAAAGTAACCTTATTTTCACATTTGCATAACGGCCACTATTTCCCCCTGTAGTGTTCTAGTTGATGAGACACATCATTACGCATAGACGTGGTGACGTTATTAGACGCATGTGCATCATGACGTCACGAGAACCCGGAAGTATGTTCCGGTGGAGTATGGAAGTGTCTCTCTATCAAATCGTTTACCGATGGTGCTCCCCTCGCTCAGCTGACTGCACTGGGATAATTAGTTCAGATTAATGGTTTTAGGTGGCTACGGGTTATATAAGTGAGAAGTTGGAAGAGTCAGTGAGAGGTCTCCCAGAGGAAGGCTTAAGGGCTGAAACATCGGGCTATCACATCTCCTGCTCTTGGTTAGTATACCATTTTATATGGGTGCTTGTAGGCATTCTTAGCATTTTATTATTACTCAGAAGTGGTTTTGGGACTATTGTTCTAACATATTTTTCACTGTGTTATGCAATTTCTCTTCTATCAAGTTTGTTTAATCCATTATTGTATTGCAGGAATAAAAATAATTTTTATGTGCAAACTCTGGTGTGCCTTGGGTTCATTTTCTATATTCTTTACATACAGGGGTCAAGTCCTGGGGAAAAAAGTGTGGGAACTCTCCCAAAAAAAACCAAAAAACACTTGTATGTATGTGTATATATATGTATGTATGTATGTATGTGTATATATATATATATATATATATATACATACATACATACACACGCGTGCACACACACACACTCACACAGTGGTGTATTTTAATTTTATGCTGCCCTAGACATGACTATAGAGCACCCCCCTAATCTAAATTTACCACTCCTTCATGTCAAGGGTGCACCGCTTCCTGATTAAGAACCCACCCCTTCCTCTTTAGATACCACCTTTTCCTGCTCCTTTTAAAGAAATACTATAGTGCCAGGAAAACAAAGTTGTTTTCCTGGCACTATAATTCCATATAGTGCCCCCCTCCTCTCATGTCCTCCCCTCCCCCACTCGACACTGAAGGGGTTAACATCCTATGGGTATTTAGCAGATGCTGGATGTCCTCATGCACAGGGTGAGGATGTCCAGCATCAGTTAGGTGACTTTTGGTCACCTAACCACCCGAAAGTCCCTCTAGCGGCTGTCTGATAGACAGCCACTAGACTTGGAGTTACCCCTCAGGTAATTATTGCAGTTTCTGAGAAGGTTTAAGGGGACTGGGACACTGCACCCAGACCACTTCAAGGAGCTGAAGTAGTCTGGGTGCCTATAGTGTCCCTTTAAGCACACTCTCTGACAGACACCCACACTGGCAGATACACACTATAAGTAACACACACATTCAATAACAAACACACAGACGTCACTGATTTGACACACACATTCACTGACACACACTCATTCATTGACAGAGAGACACACACTAATAGTCACACACACACTAAATGACAGACTCTCACTTATTTGACAGAAACTTACAATAATGTATGCACATACATGCAATTGCAAACATACACATGCATACACTAACAGAAGCACATACACTCACATACACACGTACAAACGCTAACAGACATAAATACACTCCTACACACACTGAGACAAACAGACATCCACACATCCAGACATCCACACATCCACACACATCCACAAACACACATCCACACACACACATCCACAAACACACATCCACAAACACACATCCACAAACACACATCCACAAACACACATCCACAGACATCCACACATCCACAAACAGACATCCACACATCCACAAACAGACATCCACACATCCACAAACAGACATCCACAAACAGACATCCACACATCCACAAGCAGACATCCACAAACAGACATCCACACATCCACAAACAGACATCCACACATCCACAAACAGACATCCACAAACAGACATCCACAAACAGACATCCACACATCCACAAACAGATATCCACACATCCACAGACATCCACAAACAGACATCCACACATCCACAAACAGACATCCACAGACAGACATCCACTAACAGACATCCACAAACAGACATCCACACATCCACAAACAGACATCCACACACAGACATCCACAAACAGACATCCACACATCCACAAACAGACATCCACAAACAGACATCCACACATCCACATCCACACATCCACAAACAGACATCCACAAATCCACAAACAGACATCCACAAATCCACAGACATCCACACATCCACAAACAGACATCCACAAATCCACAAACAGACATCCACAAATCTACAGACATCCACAAATCCACAAACAGACATCCACAAATCTACAGACATCCACACATCCACAAACAGACATCCACACATCCACAAACAGACATCCACACATCCACAAACAGACATCCACATATCCACAAACAGACATCCACACATACACAAACAGACATCCACATCCACACATCCACAAACAGACATCCACACATCCACAGACATCCACAAATCCACAAACAGACATCCACAAATCCACAAACAGACATCCACAAATCCACAGACATCTACACATCCACAGACATCCACATCCCCACAAACAGACATCCCCACAAACAGACATCCCCACAAACAGACATCCCCACAAACAGACATCCACACATCCACAAACAGACATCCACACATCCACACAGACATCCACACATCCACACAAACAGACATCCACACATCCACACAAACAGACATCCACACATCCACAAACAGACATCCACAAACAGACATCCACACATCCACAAACAGACATCCACACAAACAGACATCACATCCAGACATCACAAACAGACATCACAAACAGACATCCAAACAGACATCCACAAACAGACATACAAACAGACATCACAAACAGACATCCACAAACAGACATCCACATCCACACATCCACAAACAGACATCCACACATCCACAAACAGACATCCACAAACAGACATCTACAAACAGACATCCACAAACAGACATCCACATCCACACATCCACAAACAGACATCCACAAACAGACATCTACAAACAGACATCCACAAACAGACATCCACAAACAGACATCTACAAACAGACATCTACAAACAGACATCCACAAACAGACATCCACATCCACACATCCACATCCACAAACAGACATCCACAAACAGGCATCCACAAATCCACAAACAGACATCCACACATCCACAAACAGACATCCACAAATCCACAAACAGACATCCACACATCCACAAACAGACATCCACAAATCCACAGACATCCACACATCCACAGACATCCACAAATCCACAGACATCCACAAATACACAGACATCTACACATCCACAAACAGACATCCACACATCCACAAACAGACATCCCCACATCCACAAACAGACATCCCCACAAACAGACATCCCCACAAACAGACATCCACACAGACATCCACACAAACAGACATCCCCACAAACAGACATCCACAAACAGACATCCACACATCCACAAACAGACATCCACACATCCACAAACAGACATCCACAGACAGACATCCACACATCCACACACAGACATCCACACACAGACATCCACACACAGACATCCACACATCCACGAGCACATCCAGACATCCCCACAAACGAGAGACATCCCACACACAAACGACAGACACCCACAAACAGACATCCCCACAGACATCCACACAAACAGACATCCACACAAACAGACATCCACACAAACAGACATCCACACAAACAGACATCCACATCCAGACATCCACATCCAGACATCCACAGACAGACATCCACAGACAGACATCCACATCCAGACAGCCACACATCCAGACATCCACAAACCGACATCCACAAACAGACATCCAGACATCCACAAACAGACATCCACACATCCACAGACATCCACAAACAGATATCCACAAACAGACATCCACAAATCCACAAACAGACATCCACACATCCACAAAGACATCCACAAATCCACAGACATCCACACATCCACAAACAGACATCCACAAATCCACAAACAGACATCCACAAATCCACAGACATCTACACATCCACAGACATCCACAAATCCACAAACAGACATCCACAAATACACAGACATCTACACATCCACAAACAGACATCCACACATCCACAAACAGACATCCACACATCCACAAACAGACATCCCCACAAACAGACATCCCCACAAACAGACATCCACACAAACAGACATCCACACAAACAGACATCCACACAAACAGACATCCACAAACAGACATCCACACATCCACAAACAGACATCCACAAACAGACATCCACACATCCACAAACAGACATCC